TTTTGATTTCTGGTCAGAAAACAAAGCTCTAGGAGTCTGGGCTGAGAGAAGAACACAGTCATTCTGGAAAGTTTGTCCCTGGCGGTTGGCACTGAGTTGCTGCTCTGAAAAGCCTGGGATACTGGGGGCCAAACTCAAATGGCCGCAGACCAGGGAGGCCCCAGAAGTGTGTGGGTGCTGGGTCTGAGAGAGGGCGGCACAGTCTTCATTCCAGGGCTTGTTGCTATAGCCTACTGTTGCCAGATCTTCCTATTTTTTCAAGATTAGTTGGAAATCCTAATTTTTATGTGAAGTCTTCTTATTTTTAAATATTGGATCAAAAAGGAAACAACATTTTTTTAAACAGTCCACTGTCCAAACAAAATATGTCTGCAGGCCACACACACCCTCAGGCCACCCGGAGGTATAGTCTGGGCATATAGACTACAGTATGTCTTGTACATATTGCTTTTTGAAAACCTTTTTATTGCGGGTAATTTCAAACATTTACACATTGAGAGGATAGTATATAAACCCCCACAGAAACTCTCACATACTCATCACCCATCTTCGAGGAATATCAGCCTATGGCCAATCTACTTTGACCTCCAGTCACTACGCACATGCGTGTGCACACACACAAACACACCCACATACCCATACTGGATTGTCTGGATACAAATCACAGATACGCTCTCATTTCATCTGTATATACTGCTAAAGATAAGAACATAAAAAAGCCATATTGTTCCAGCCTCTGTCTGCGTTCAAAAAATAAAAAGAAAAGCCATATTGCCTATATATGGCAGTATTATCAAGCATATGGTCAGTTTTCAAACTTAACCTCTGTCTCATAATTTTTTAACAGCTTATCTTTTTGAATCGTGATCCAAATAACACCCATACATTGTGTCTTAGTCCATTCGGCTCCTACAACAAAGCACCCTAATCTGGGTAGCTTAGATACAACAGAAATTTATTTCTTATGGTTCTCGGGGATAGGAAGTCCAAAACCAAGGCAGATTCAGTGCCTGGTGAGGGCCTGCTTTGTGCTTCACAGACTACTGTCTTTTCACTGTGTCCTTACGTGGTGGAAGGGAAAGGGGTCTCTCTTAGGCCCCCTTTATAGGGACACCAATTATTTCCCAAAAGCCCTACCCCAGGCTGGAGTGCAGCGGTGCGATCTCAGCTCATTGCAGCCTCTGCCTCCCGGGTTCAAGCGATTCTTCTGCCTCAGCCTCCTGAGTAGTTGGGATTACAGGCGCCCGCCACCACGCCTGGCTAATTTTTGTATTAGTAGAGACGGAGTTTCACAATGTTGATCCAGCTGGTCTCAAATTCCTGACCTTGTGATCCACTCACCTTGGCCTCCTAACCCTTACTCTTCTTTTAAATGTATTTTTCCTTTTATTTTTAGTTGACATGTAATAATTGTACATATTTATGGGATACAGAGTGATGTTTTGATACATGTATACAATGTGTAATGATCAAATCAAAGTAATTAGCATATCCATCATTTCAGACATTTATTTTTTTTTACATTGGGAACATTCAGAATCCTTTCTTCTAGCTTTTTGAAAATGTACAGTAAATTATTGTGAACTGTAGTCACCCTACAGTGGTATAGATCACTAGAACGTATTCCTGCCATCTAGCTGTAATTTTGTATCTGTTAAGTCTCCTTATCCTCCCTTCCCTCCTACCCTTCCCACCGTCTAATATTTCACCTTCTAATACCATTTTCTTGGAGGTTAGGATTTCAGCATATGAATCCGAAGGGCACATGGACATTGAGACCAAAGCACCTTGCAAATGATGCGTGGGTACCTTCAGTCTCAGGTAGCTTCCTCATTATCATCCCTTTCTTTCTTCTCTTTCCTCTTTACTTAGGAATCCAAGTCCTTTGCTTTGTAAAGTATCTTACGTTCTGAAGTTTGCTGATTGCGTTATTATGGATTTGTTGAAAATTGACATGCTAATTAATATCTTTAGTTTTATACTAAAGAAGAGTCTAGATGCTTGTATTTTACCAGTTTTGCCATATTTTCCCCTGCTGCTACTCTATGTCGTTTATCATTATGAGCTGCTGTTTTACTGAGTTTTTCTCCTGTCGTTTTCCTCTTACAAATAAATAAAAGTATACTGGAGACGGTCAAATCTAAAGTCTTGTCGGCCTGTGCCTGCCTTTTGGGATCTGTTCATGAATCTATTTGAAGCTTGTATGCTTTCTTGAAATGCTTTTTTCTGCCTTGTGATGTGAAAGTTTGGTCGCTATTTTTAGCTTTTTATACTCCTGGCAGCAAATCCGAAGCCTACAGAATAATTTTGGATTGGGATATTTTGGATTTGAAGTCAACTGTGGCACTCTAATTAAAAACGTTATGCGTGTGGCTCAGCCAGCTCAAACGAATAATTTGTTGAGCTACAAACAGTAACAAATTGCAGAAGTGATTCACCTGGAGTTTGAGAAAAGGTTATTAAGAAAGCATAAAATAAATTATGATGGATTATTAGAGCCCTTTTAAGAATGGGGCCTATGGAACAAAATAGGAAGTTATTAATATGTCTTAAATAGTTTCCCTTAAAAACCTTTGATGAAGTTAAAATAATTGGTGGACATCTTTTGTTAGGCTTGCCATCAAGTTGGTTAAAGTCCCTTTAACATCATATAAATAACTGAGTTTAAAATCAGAGAACGTGTTTTGAAATGAATTCTTTGAAAGTGAAACTTGGTGTGAAGTTTCCAGTTATACTGAGAAGCCTCTCATGAATACTCTAGAGTGATTATTTTTGGGTTCAGCTCATTGATCCATTGGAACTGAGCCTCAGATGTTTTTTAGATCTTCTTTTGTGGTCCATGAAGCAGTTTAGGGAAGATAAACACCCAGAAAAGTAATATTGATTACGTGATTCCAAATTAGATGTCATTTGAAGTTAAAATATTACAATTTAGTGGCCCATGAGGATGTGGAAAATATAATACCAACACACAAGAACAAATATGTGACAAATGGGAACAAGCCTGTTTAGGGCTATAATTAATAAAGGACGGAGTTACCCAAATGGCGAAGAAACGGAATGTTGATGCCTTCGCTAATAAACAGGTCTCTTGGTTGCCTGCTCTTTGGTCTCAGATAGAACACACGAGTCCTGTCAGAATTTCTGGATCTTCCTAAATGTGGCCTTTGGTAAGAAAAGAATAAAAACATTCTTGCCAAACTTATTAGGTAGGTAAGCTTGGGTTGAATACCAAGGTATACAAGTTCAGTTGCTATGGAGACTTCTTCACAAAGAGAAAAAGAATCCAAATGCCATTTAAAATGGAGAACTAGTGAATTCAAAAATGTACAGAATGAGGTTATTTTGGCCTGTTGGTCTGGGTACTTCTAGTCCCATTCTGTTGACTGGGAAACTACGTCTTGGTGCAAATCAAGCAAAGAGTTACTGATAGACCTACCTAGAGAAAGGCAATAGTGGTGTTCTTTAAGCTCTGTGTCCCCTTTGCTGTTCATAGGGCTTGCAACTGAAAGATACTGCTGGGGTGGGTGGGGATTGAGGGTGAACTAGGTGAGTTTCTCTGTTTGTGCCCTTCTTCTCTTCCTCCCTTCCTCCCTTCTTCTCTCCCTCCCTCCTTCCTTCTCTCCTTACTTCTTGCCTGCTTACCTGCCTGCCTGGCTTCCTGCCTGGGATTGCAATTATGTTTCTGGAGCTATTTTCTGGGACCCATCCAAATCTGAATACTCATTTCCATACAGATTCTCCTGTGGTTCTTTTTATTCCCTTTGTATATAGATTTGACCCTGGCATACATCTATTCAAGATTTCCAATAAAGTGTTAAAAAGAGGCTGGGCATGGTGACTCATGCCTGTAAACCCAGCACTTCGGTAGGCTGAGGAGGGCGGATCACATGAAGTTAGGAGTTCAAGACCAGCCTGGCCAACGTGGCGAAACCCGGTCTCCATTGAAAGTAGAGAAAGTAGCCAGGTGTGGTGGCGCATGCCTGTAATTCCCGGCTACTTGGGAGGTTGAGGCAGGAGAATCGCTTGAACCTGGGATGTAGAGGTTGCAGTGAGACAAGATCGTGCCACCACACTCCAGCCTGGGTGACAGAGCAAGACTCTGGCTGAAAAAAGAAAGCCCCTGAGCATCCTCTTTTTAATAGTCTCTGCCTTCCTTGGAAATTTAAGTATTGCAAAGAAAGCCTGTAGGATATGGCTACACAGTCCTCATCATGAAGATGACATTGAGCTTTCTCCTGATGGATGGCCTGAGGGAGAGATGGATGGGAAGAAAAGGAACCAGTAGTGTGTTCATTGCCCATCAATTCCCAAACTCAGGAGCCAAAGGGTGACATGTTTTTCATTCTCTGCTAATGGATGGATATGTTTCTTTTCATTTGGGACATGCATATGTTAAGTAACATCTGTGTGGTCATGGCAAGAATAAGGTAACTGGTTTCCTGCCTTTTACAGTGTGACAAACTGAGAGTTGCTTTTGGCAAAGAGTGAAATCCAGCTTCAAGGTAATGAGTATGGTTTACTTCCTATGACCTCTTGTCAGCCATCCCAAGGGCATAGTATTCATGGCTGTGATATCAGATAGGGGATGCCTGGTATCAAGGTGGATCGCCCTTCATGTCAGACTTTTTTTTTTTTTTTTTTGAGACAGAGTCTTGCTCTGTCTCCAGGCTGGAGTGCAGTGGCGCTATCTCGGCTCACTGCAACTTCCACATCCCATGTTAAGTGATTCTCCTGCCTCAGCCTCCTGAGTAGCTGGGACTACAGGCGCGGCTAATTTTTTTATTTTTTTAGTAGAGACAGGGTTTCACCATGTTGGCCAGGATGACCTCGATCTCTTGACCTCATGATCTGCCTGCCTCAGTCTCCCAAACTGCTGGGATTATAGGCGTGAGCCTCCGTGCCTGGCCTCATGTCATGCTTTGACAGTGAAATCTTGTGGTTGTTGGGGAGTATGGTTTGATTCAGGGAATATCTCTCAAGCACCTGTTATATTACAGGTACTATGCCAAGTGCTGAAGATTTAGAAAGATGGGAGACACAGCCCGGGCATGGTGGCTCATGCCTGTAATCCCAGCACTTTGGGAGGCCGAGGCGGGCAGATCACGAGGTCAGGAGATCGAGACCATCCTGGCTCACATGGTATGAAACCCTGTCTCTACTAAAAAATACAAAAAATTTTGTATTTTTCCTGATCACTATCCTGAGTGACTGCCGTGTTTGAACACTAGATCTGGGGTCCTCGAATTCTGGCCTGAGGGACCAAATTGCACTGATTCTTGTAAGATCCTTGAACTAAAAATGTCTTTTACATTTTTAAGCAGCTGGGGGAAAAAGAAGAATAATTGGTGTCATGTGAAAATCATGTGAAATTCAGATTTCAGCATTCATTAATAAAGTTTTATTGGAACAAAGTCAGTTTCATTTACTTACTGTCTTTGGTTGCTTTTACATAACAAGGGCAGAGCTGAACAGTCACAATAGAGAGTATATGGCTCGCAAAGGGTAAAATATTTATCTGGTTCTTTAAAGAAACACTTTGCCCACTCTGGACTGTGCCATTACTCAGCAGTTATGGTGTGGTTGGCCTGTCCTCTGTCCTTCCTCCTCCATCAACACACACCCACTCAGTTGCAACTGCCACCATTCTTTATTCAGTCTGTCCGTTTGTCCATCCATCCATCCATCAGTCCATCCATCCGTCCATCCATGGTCCCTGGCCATCATGGTGTCAGCTGTTCCAAGATTTGTTAACAGAGAGTATAGAACTCTTATTATTAATGATTCCTATAGGTAGAGCTGCTCTTTCCTCTCCATCCGTGGCTGATATCTCCGTGCTTTCTCCATTCTACCGTCACGGGCTCAAACATAACCTCCTCCACTCCCCCACACCCGCTTCAGTTGCTGGGGTCATTCATTGGCTCCCTCTGCAGAGGCTTGAGTGTAAGTGAGGTATTCAGCAGAGGTCTTTGGCGGGTTTCTCATCTGATCACAATCTTAGTTTGAGAAACGGAGCCTCATTCATTAAGCTGTAAGAGAACTCTCTACAAGCAATTTTATTTTTAAGTAGCCCTTTTGTTAACAAGTTTACTCCACTTGGGATGCTTTTTTAGTTTTGGTGGCCCACAGAAATCTGAAACAGTGCAGTGCTGGGGCCTCTAATCTGTCTTTAGGAACGGGGGATACCGTGAAGTTCACCATGCAATTACTTAAGAAAGCTCCTGGCTAGTGCTCCTGTGAATGTGTTTTTACCTTCCTGTAAAATGCTGAACTCACAGACTTTATTACTGGGATAATGGAGAAATGTATAAATTCAATGCAAGTGACACCAGCAAGCCTGCGTGTTGGGTAGAGATGTCCTGGGGCCGTTTTGTCCTGCACTTTTCTTCATGGGTGTTTCTTTCTTGAAATTGAACACCACTGATCTCTCTTTAAGCAAAATGCTTCAGCAAATATACAGGAAGAGCCCCCCCTCCTTTTCTTCCTGTGGTTTCATTGCATGTTGTGTGGTTTCAGAGGTACTTCCTTGGGTTGCCCCCAGCCAACCAGAGTTTCCTCAGAACCAGAGAGCTTTCTTTTGGAAGAGCTCGAAGATTGTAATCTGGATGCTAGCAAAGCGTCTCCAGCTGCTCCATTTTTAATTCTTAATTTGGGAGTGATCAGCGGTTTCACAGAAGAGAGAAAAATCTAAGACATTCATCGTGTGATCATTCAGCATTTGGAAAAGGGAAAAGGAGGACTGAATGAGGTAATAAACAAGGATGTTAATCAAGGAGAAGACATGTAAGGTGCAGTTTTAAAAGACATCATTAGAGGAAGCTTAGGGGACTAACAAGATGTTTTTGCACAAATATGTGGTATGGAGGAGTGTTGTGGATCACAGGAGCAGATCTCCTCTGCTTCTTACCCCTGCAAAACAACATCAGCAATGAAATCATTTAAAAAACACAGATAAAAACAAAATCCCGGTCCTGTTAGAATGTTGGATTGTAAGGATCAGAAACCTAAGTTGATTTAGGGCCAAAGTGGAAATACGTTTGGCTGTGTACCAATCAGGGTAAGGCTGGGGTTAGGGGACAGTTGGACCCGGGAAAGTTAACACAATCAGATGCTCTCTGTCTTTCATCCCTGTTTTCCCTGGATCAGATTAGTTCTTCTCAGGCTAGCTTACATCCGCAGTTTTAAAAGAAAAAAATTCCCAAGGAAGTTCTCTGATTAGCTAATATCAATCGTGAACCCACCTCTGGACCAATCACTGTGTACAGGGTTTGAGGTTCAACGACAATCCCAGCTGGATCCTGTGCCCATCGTGTGGTTAAGGATGGTGGAACAAGTATGGAGGTACAGTACAGAGGAAAACAATTACAAATAAAGGGGGAAAGGAATGGTCTCTTCCACCAATCCTATGCAGAAGAAACACCCATCAGAGAACGCGATGTCCTGTTCTGTAGGGCATCCTAATCAGAAAATACAGTGATGAACTGCCTCACAGTGTAAGCAAGAATGAGAATGAGCACTCCCTGCCCTAAGGGGGATGGACTAGCATTGCTTTAAAAATAATTGTCAGCTGGGCTCAGTGGTTCATGCCTGTATCCCAGCACTTTGGGAGGCTGAGGTGGATGGATCACTTGAGGACAAGAGTTCGTGACCAGCCTGGCCAACATGGTGAAACCCCATCTCTGCTAAAAATACAAAAATTAGCCAGGTGTGGTAGTGGGCACCTGTAATCACAGCTACTCGGGAGGCTGAGGCAGGAGAATGGCTTGAACCCGGGAGCCAGATGTTGCAGTGAGCCAAGATTGCACCACTGCACTCCAGCCTGGGTGACAAAGTGAGACTTTTTCTCAAATAATAATAATAATAATTGAACCTGTATTAATGGGAAATGGATCTATGACTCGTCATGAGGAGAAGGGCAAACCTTGGGTGGCTGGTTTGAATCTGTGGGCTCAGTGTGGGATAAGTCAGCTGTTCCCTCCTCACTTACTTTCTAGTGCCCTTGGGCTGGAAGTGTCAGGTCCATAACTCATCCAGGTCAGTGACACCAGAGAGAGAGTGAAGGAAGAGGGTGGATGCACTGAACTCACTCTTATGCTGCCTTCATTTTCAAATAAAGTCACAGTAAAGAGTATATTCTTTTTTTTTTTTTAAAGAGACAGGGCGACAGCTTTGTCACCGAAGGTGTAGTACAGTGGCACAATCATACCTCACTGTAACCTTGAATTCCTGGGCTCAAGCAATCCCTCTGTCTAGCAGTCCCTCTGTCTAGCCTCCCTGGTAGCTGGGACTACAAGCATGAGCCACTGTGCCCAGCCAAGGAGCATGTTTTTGTATCAGTCATATATGTATACTTGAATGCATATATATGTATATGTGTATATACACTTACATGCATGTATATATGTGTATATGTATACATGCCGAATGTATATACATGTCTGTCTGTCTATCTATCTATCTATCTATCTATCTATCTATCTATCTATCCATCCATCTATCCTTTCTTCCTTAAAGGAATCTATGATAATATCATCTGCTATTAGTTTAATACCTGGAATAGGAGAATGTCTTAATGAACTAAATATCACCTTTAGTTGTCTAATCTGTCATTAAATGTCTTACTCATTGGGCTTTTGAGTGGTTTAATGAAGCAGTGGTATTTAGACAAGATTTTATATCTATAGCCAAAATCTAAAAGGCTTTCTGAATTGGGGAGGGGTTCCTATTCAGTGGGAAATATTTGTCTACAACATAGTTTATGTGGATTTTATTAACTCTTCTTAAATTGTGAAACATGCCACACATTCAGAACAGTGCACAACATGTGACTGTACAGCCTACTGGGTAATGTGGCCATCACCAGCTCGAGAAATGCAACATTGCCAGCCCCCAAGAGAGCCTCCTCTCCCATCCTCAATCACAGTTTCTCCCTGCCTCCTAAAGATAACAACTGGGCTTGATTTTTACGGAATCATATTTTTGCTTCTTGTCACACATTTAGTACTTGAGTGTACATTCTTAAGCACTGTAGTTTAATTTTGCTTGTTTTTGAACTGTGTATCAGTGGAATCATACTTTATTAAGTATTCTAGGTCTGGCTTTATTTCCTCAACTTTTCTCTTGGGTATATCTCTAGTTTGTACACTTTAAAATTATTATACAGTTTCATGGTATAAATAGGCTATAACTTCATAATCCATTCTGCTGATGATCATTTGGATTAATTCCAATGTTTGACTATTGTGAATAGTGCTACAATGGACTTTTTTTGGAGATACGTTCCCCAGCAGTCATGTCCATGTATTTCTTGGGGTATATTTCTAGAATTGAAATTGCTGATTTTTCATCTTTACTAAAGTGGCTGACCCAGTTACACTCTCCCTAGGAGGATAAGGGAGTTCTTCTTGCCTTATGCCCTCAGAAAACCTTGGTGTTGTTAGTCATTTCAATTCTAGATATTCTGGTCATAAGTGGATTTCCTGGTTTGAGTTTGCATTTTGTAAATGTGAAAAAACAGCACGGCCAAGCTCCTATTCGTAGGTTTATTGGTCATTGGAATATTTTCTTTTGTGAACTGCCTGTCACATCACTTGTCATTTTTTATTTGGTAGTTGATGTTTTTCTATTGATTTGTACAGTTGTGTGCATGTCTGTGTTTTAACCTATTCTGCATGATATCTCCTTGTTGGTTGCATGAGTTGCAAATATTGTCTTTCCATGTGGCTTGCATTTTATCGTATTGTTTATTTTTTAAGTAATTAACTAAGTTTTTACCCGGAATGTAGTCAGGATGATTAGTTACTGGCTTTTTGATGTCTGTCCTATTAAAAAAACTTAGGATTTACCATAGCTACCTTGGATTGCAAAGTCATATATAAATTGATACTTTGAAGCCTTCCTAGATAATACAAGGACATTAGAGTATATTAACTCCTTTTATTCTCTACTGGATTATAAGATACAGTAAAATTTTTTCTTTTATACTATTCTAAACATCTAAGATATTATTGTTAATTATTATTATTATTATACTTCTGTCCATCTTAAATTATCTTTATTTCTGCTGCATATAGAATTCTCCGTTGGCAGTGATTTTCTTCAAACACTTAGAAGACACCAGTTCATTATCTTCTGGCATCTGTTCTTGCTGAGAAGTCGGCTGTCTGCCTAATTGTTGCTTCTTTGTACAATAACTCATCAGTCTCCTTGTTGCTTTTATGGTTTTTCTCTTTGCCTTTGGCTTTCCTGTTCTACTATGACATATCTAGGTGTAAATATATTTTTATTTATTCTGTTCAGGGTTTGTAGGACTTCTTGAATCTATGGGTTGGTATCTTTTTTTGCATTTTGGGATATTTCCAACCTGTATCTCTTTAGTCCAGTTCTCTTTTTTTCTTCATATTACATCCTTTCATTGTATTTTCTTTTTCTTTTTCTTTTTTTTTTTTTTCGGAAACAGAGTTGTGGACTGTCTCCCGGGCTGGTGTGCAGTGATGTGATCTCGACTTGCTGCAACCTCCGCCTCCCGGGTTCAAGTGATTCTCCTGCCTCAGCCTCCCGAGTAGCTAGGATTACAGGCACCCACCACCATGCCTGGCTAATTTTTTGTATTTTTAGTAGAGACAGGGTTTCACTATGTTGGCTAGGCTGGTCTCGAACTCCTGACCTCGTGATCCGCCTGCCTCGGCCTCCCAAAGTGCTGGGATTACAGGCATGAGCCACTGCGCCTGGCCCTTTCACTATATTTTCTGTGTCCCCTGCTTTCTCTTTCATTGTTTTATTTTTGTCCCTTTATGCTTCATTCTGCCAACCTAATGTTGTGAAGACGAAATACTATTTGTTCACTCAACAAATGTTCTTATTTTGAGGTCCTACTGTGTGCTAGGCAATGTCCTAGGTACTTGGGATACTTTGGTGATCAAAAGAGGCAAAGATCCTTGTCTTTGTGAATTGCTATTAAAAAATAAATAATTGTGTATTGTAATGAGTTATTATGTCTTCATTTTTAATTAAGTTTAACTTAATGATTCAGTGTGTTGGAGGTGGGAAATGATATTTTAAAAAAGCAAAGTAGACCTGCTTTGGGTGGGTGGGCAGTTTTGGGAGGTAAGTGGGGCAGATTAGGGTATAGTGATGAGATGGTACCATTTGAATGAAGACTAAAAGAATGTAAAGAAATTAGCTAGCAGCCTACCTGGAATGTTCCAGAAAGAGGGAGTGTGTCTGGAAAGTTCAGGGAACATTGAGGAAGCCAAGCGTGGCTTTAATGGCATGAACAAGGGGAGAAGCAGCAGGAGATGAAGATAGGGAAGTAATAACGAGGCCAGAGGGGTGACATGCTTTGTGGGTCCCTCTAGGGAGTTTGGCTTTTACCCCTTGAGCAGAGGAATGATGTATCTGATTTATACTTTAAAAGGATCACCATGGTCCTGGATGAAGATGGATTGTAGAAGGACAAGAGTAGAAACAGGGAGACTTGTTAGGAGGCTTTGTTGTAATCTAGTAGAAAGAGAATGGTGGCTCAGATTATAGTGGCAACAGTGGGAGGGGGTGAGAAGAGATTTGGATTTGCACATATTTGGAAAGTGGGTGCAACAGAATTTTCAGACTGATTTGATGTGGGATGTGAAAGAAAGGGAAGGCAAGTATGGCACCAAGTATTTTGGTCTGAATAGTTGGGAGGGTTCAGTTGCCCTTAGCTCAGCTGGGAAAGGCATCTGGAAGATACCAGAGGGTGTAAGTGCCCAGTGCGGTATTTGATTGTGGAGTCTAGGGGAAAAAGCACTGGCTAGGGACATGCATTGGGAGTTGTTAGCATGTAGACGGTATTCACAGTCATGAGACTGGATGGGATCTGCAAGAGTTGTAGGTTGATTTCTCCAGAAACAGGCAAGAAGATGGCATTTAGATGATCTGCGAAAGAAAGAGGAAGGAAGTAGGACTGTGTGGAGAAGTCAAGCAGTGATGTAGAACAACCTAGCTGGAAGCTCTGGAATTAATACTGCCCATCATCCTTGCCCTGCAGAGGCAGATATGACCAGTCCTTCATCCCCACCTCACTCAGTCACCAGATGTGGGCTACCCTCGGATGCCGCCCTCTGCTCTGAGACAGATCCTGCCGGAGCTGAAGGCTGGAGGCTGCCTTTTGACCACAGCCCCCATAGCTGAACAGCAAGTCTTTCCTTGGGGTAAGATTGGGACAGTGGATCTACATATCTCCCTCACTGAGGACCGCAGTACAGAAAGAAGAGAGAAGAGGGCCAAGGACTAAGCCCTGTGGTTCCCCAACATTAAGAGGTCTGGGAGAAGAGGAGGAACCAGCAAAGGCAGCCAGCAAGGCGGAAGAATTATGGTGACTTGGAAGCAATTGAAGAAAGTACACCAGAGCAGAATGAGTAATCAGTGGTGTCAAATGCTGCTGATAGAATAGGTCAAGTACAATGAAGACAAGACAGAAACATTGGCTTTATAAACTGGGAGGTCATTAGTGCCCTTGAGAACAGCACGTGGATGGATGGAAGACTCACTGGAGTGGGTTTAAGAGAGAATGGGAAATAAGGGAACATGGCAAATACAGATGCCTCTTTTAATATTTCTGCAAAGGAGAGGGAGAAAG